CTGCCTCCGCCTCCCAAGTAGCTGGGACCACAGGCGCCCGCCACAACGCCCGGCTATTTTTTGGTTGCAGCCATCATTGTTGTTTGGCGGATCCGGGCTGGGGATTCGAACCCGCCACCTTAGGTGTACGTGGCTGGCACCTTAGCCGGTTGAGCTATAGGCGCCGAGCCCTAATCCTTCCATTTTGAGGACATCTTCTGGGAAAGAGAGAGGTCACCTAGAAACATCTTGATAGTGTTTCCTCCCTTTACTTCATATTGATGTCTTCCACAGCTGCTGGGCATCTCCTTGCAGATGTCCTGGAGGCAACTCAAACTCACCACCTCCCAAACTGAGCTTGTTATCTTTCTCCAAAGAGCCTTGCTCTTCCTTCTCCGTTGTCTACTTAATGGCAACACTGTGCACCCTGTTGCCTGAACCAGAACTGTGGGTACCATGCTGGGGGTATGCATCGCTGTGACTAAGAGCAGTAGACCTTGGAATTAACCTCAATTTGAAGCTCAGCTCTGCCACGCTTGCTGTATGACTTTGGGCAAATCACTTAACCTCTAAGCCTCAATTTCTTCATCTACAAAATGAGAATAACAGAACCTAAATCATGGATTGTTGTGAGGATGAAATGAAGTGGTGTATGGAAAGGTTGAGCAGAGTACCTGGCACATTTGAACATTCGGTCAATGGTAGCTGCTATGGGAGCCTTCATGGTAGTTGGTAGTGTTTTCCTGACTCACCTCACTCTTTTTCCCCTCCTGTCATCTAAAGTCCTATCCATGCCACTTCCCTGATAGCTGCCACTACTTTCAAGCTTTCAGTGTGTGAGTATTGTTCTCAGGGTCAGTCCCAGACTCTAGCCTTCATAATCCAGCCCCGGCTTAGCCTGCCAGTTTCACCTCTCTGCCTCTCCTTTCTGGCCTTCCTCCCCACCTACGCTCCTTTCCCCTCCCCTCTATTCTCCTTCCCTGGTCTGGGCTCCAGCTGTACCTCTGAATGATTTTCATTCCCTGAAGGTACTATGCTTTCCCACTTCTCAGGCTTTAAACTTGCTCTTCCTCCTGTCTACCATGTTTCCCCCAAAATAAGACACTGTCTTATATTTATCTTTTCTTAAGAAGAAACACTAGAGCTTATCTTCAGGGGATGCCTTCCTCTCCACGCCAAAATGCATGGCGTGGCAATGCAGATACACTGCATAGCCATGCCCATCACTAGGTCTTATTATCGGGGTAGGGCTTAATATTTAACAAATGCATAGAAGTCCTGCTAGGGCTTATTTTTTGGGTAGCTCTTATTTGGGGGGAAACACTGTAGATAGTGTTTATCTCACTTTCTCTAGGACAGTCTCACACTTCACTGCTTAATGCTTAACGCCGCCTCTGGAAGCATTCCCTGATGACCCTATCTGGTTAGGAATACTTCCTCTCAGTTCCCAGAGTGCCCTGTGCATTCTTCCCTATAGCACTTGTCACTGTCACTCTGAATTAACAGCCTTTTGGCATGTCTGTCTCCCCCAGCACTCTAATGTCAGTGAGGCAGATACTATGTTTCACATTTGGCAGAACTCCCAGAGCCTAGCCTACTGCCTCACAGAGTTGGTCAGTCAGAAAATGGTTGTCAGAGTTGAAAAACATGACAACTTCTGGAGATCATACCTGGGTGTGTTGCCACTTACTAGCCATGTAACCTTGAGCTAGTTCCTTATTCTTCCCAAAGTTAACATTCTTCATTTATAAGTTGCAGATCATAATGCAACAAGGACAGCTGTGAGGATTAAATGAGACAAGCTATGGAAAGTGTCAGGCTCATTGTACATAGTAGAAAATGTGCTTTCTTCTTCTCTCACTACCAAAGTATATGCGATCTCATGTCACTCCATCACCACTAGTAGTTTTCAGACTTTTTGTGTTTAATCACAAGACTTCTGAAATCTTCCATGAAACCCCAATCTATAACAAATACAAGAAGCAAAGCTGTGCAGGCGCGGGGGTGGAGTGAGGTAAAGAGCCCTCCAGTTCTTGTCCATCCACGTAGCCTCCAAGCCCCATGCACAGCTGGAAACACTGCTTCAGACTGAACTGCTTCCCATGAGCACAGGGAGAGAGCCTCCACACAGACCCTCTCAGCTATCATAGCAACCCTGTGAGGTATAGGTATTTTTCTCCCTAATTTACAAACAGGGAAAGTAAGGTTCAGAGAGAATAAGTAATTTGTCTAAAGTCCCACAGGAACACTGATCTTACTCAGTCGTGGAGCCAGAGTTTACAAAAGATGGGAAAATAAATGCCTGCCTGCTGCGGCACAGGGTCATTCTAAGTTGATTGAGATACTGTAAAGCTCTTATTAATTTCATTAGTTTCCTTTTCCTATTTCTTCTCTTCCATTCCCAAATTTAACTAAATACATGAAATGGTGGGTGACATCCAACAACTGGCCCACCATCACCATCTCCTTCTCTAGGTTTTAGCATCTGTCCCTTGTCTCCCTGGCAAAGGCCCTATTGGCCTGCTATTGCCTTGGGGTTGGGCAGAGAGGTGGATGTAACTCAGCCCACAGACCTTCATTTTGACTCTAGATCCAGGTCTGTCAAAGTTAACTAGCAGGGTCTAGCCTCTCTGAGCCTTCCCATCCTCACCTGGGCAAAGAGGCCACTTTTACATTTTGCTGTGAGGGCCCAAGGTGGCTGTCCCTGGTATGCCATTGGATATACTTTAGGTGTGGCCTTTCTGTGGGAATGTTGCCCTTTTTGGTAATGCCTGGACCCAGCATCAGGAGAACACATGTGTCCCAGCCACCCAGAGCAACCTCATCAAATCCTCCTTCCTGTGAGACTCCTATGATACCTTGCTTTTCCCCTACAACCTACAGAATTAGAGGGATTGTCTCTCTAGTGGTCATCTTCCTCACATCTGTCCCTCCTTTAGTCTTTACTCCAGAATTGTTGTCCCCATTTGCAGCTGAGTCTCCTAAGATGGACAAACTGTAAAAACACTCCATGGGTATAACTGTACCTTCACCCCCAGAACATGTACCTGTCTGATTGCATTTCATTCTCACTCCTGTAGGGTGGGTGAGCGGGGCAAGATTGTGAGGCTTTGCCTCTAGCATATTAGTGACAAAGCTGGGTCCCAGACTGATGTGTCAGGTATCATGTTGTGCCTGGTAGCTGACAAGCACCTGATGAAATTGCCTCTTGTATTGGCAGGAAAAGGAGAAGGCCCAGGTGACAGCAGATGCTCTAAAGCAGGTGAATCGTGTTTCTGGAGGCGGGGAGCCAAGGCCTGTGAGGGAGAGGCTTTTGGAGTGGCCTGACCAGGAACTGGATCGGGTCAACAGCTTCCTGAGTAGTCGTCTACGGGAGATCAAGAACACTGTCAAGGACTCCATCCGTGCCAGCTTCAGTGTGTGTGAGCTCAGCATGGACAGCAATAGCTTCTCTAAGGAGGGGGCTGCTGAGCCTGAGCCTCACAGTCTACCCCCTTCAAACCTCAGTGGCTCCTCAGAGCAGCAGCCTGACATCAACCTTGACCTGTCCCCTTTGACTTTGGGCTCCCCCCAGAACCACATGTTACAAGCTTCAGGCGAACCAGCCCTACCATGGGCAGAAATGAGAGGCCCCCATCCACCATGGACAGAGGTGAGGGGCCCCACTCCTGGTATCATCCCTGAGAATGGGCTAGTGAGGAGACTCAACACAGTGCCCAACCTATCCCGGGTGATCTGGGTCAAGACACCTAAGCCAGACAACCCTAGCTGTAAGGAGCCAAGTTCAAAGGAGATCCCTAGTTGCAATCAGGAGCTACTTGAACCTGTGGCCTCAGGTGGGAAGCCACGGAAGGGCAAAAGACAGGGTAGTCGGGCCAAGAAGAATGAGATGAGCCCAGCCCACCGGGCCCCGACCAACCTAGAAGTTCTCAGTGCTAAGGGCCAGAGCAGTGGTCCCAAGCAGCCAAGCAAGGTCCTAGAGCCTCCCAAAGTGGGCAGCTGTGCCAAGGCTGGAGTGGGGTGCCAGGGGAGCCAGCCAGGACCAGGTTGGTCTGGAAATATCAAAACTGAGAAGGAGAAGGGCAGCTCCTGGCAAAACTGGCGAGGTGAGGCCAAGGCACAGCCTTCGGAGCAGGAGTCTGTACAGACCCCAGGCCCAACAAAGCCACAAAGCTTGCCTCAGGGCAAGGGCCGCAGCCGCCGCAACCGCAGCAAGCAGGAGAAGCCGGCCTCCTCCTTGGGTGAGTGCACCAGGAACCGAGTGACTGACCCCTCACCCCAGCCAGGCCATGGGGTGGAGGGCAGTCCTCGCGTGTGGGCAGCGCTGCCCCCACAGCATGACCCCAGAGGCCTGGCCATCGGCACTGAGCCCTCCTGGCTGTGTCTTCCTAGACGATGTGTTCCTGCCCAAGGACATAGATGGGGTGGAGATGGATGAGACTGACCGTGAGGTGGAGTACTTTAAGAGGTAGGTGTGGGCTGCCTGCTCTCTCACTTTGCAGGGGACTCCAGGTCCTGCCCATGCTTGAGCCTGTGTTGTACCCTAGGCCTCAGAAAGGCCTACTCTCTTAGCAGTGGCCCCTTTGGGAGCCTGGCTACTCCTCCAGGCCCTGTCCCATTGGCCTGTCTGCTAGAACCCAGAGTACCACAAAAGATAGGGAGAAAGAGGCATTTCTGGCCCCAAGAACCAGGGCTTTTTCTAGCTTTGTTTGCCTTGTTTATTCACTTGGATTTCTTGCACTGCCTAGACTGAACTCTGGGGGCCAAGGCAAATCAAGCACAGTCTAGATGGGGAGTTAAGACAGCCATAAAGGTACAGCCAGGTATTAAATGCTGTAAGAGGAATAATGGCACAATGGTATTAGAGGTGGGGGCAGGCCAAGAGACCTTCCCAGAGGAAGTGGTAACCAAGCTAAACCTAAAGAATAAGAAAGTTGGCTAAGTAAAACAAAAGGTGTTTGTGACAGTGGGGCCAGTAAGGGTGAAAGAAACATAGCATACTCTTGGCCCTTTGTATCCACAGGTTCTGCATCTGCATGAATTCAGGCAATCTTGGATAAAAATATTAAAAAACAAAAAGCAATGAATAATTAAAAATAACAGTACAACAATAAAAAGCAATATAAATAAAAATACAGTTATAACTGCATACCATTTATATTGTATTAGTATTATAAGCAATCTAGAGATGGTTTGAAGAATAGAGGATGCTTTGATGGATTTTTAAATCTGTGGAGGAGGTCCTAGAACTAGTCCCCTGTAGATATCAAGGGATGGCTGTCCATAGGGGAACAGAAGTCAGTTGAGTACAACTAGAGAATAAAATCAGAGATAAAGAAGGGACTTGCATCCCAAAGCAATCATTGTCCTTTATACATTGTCCTCTGGGCTCACAGGTACTGGTTTCTAGGAGCTAGAGAGGGTACAGAGCCAATCCGTTATCTTAACAATTGGGACTCAGCGTCTAGAAGAGGGGTCCAGGGAGGAAGAGAAGAAACCTGATTGTGCCTTCTTCCACATCTCCCAAATCCAACAGGTTCTGTTTGGATTCTGCAAAGCAAACTCGTCAGAAAGTTGCTGTGAACTGGACCAACTTTAGCCTCAAGAAAACCACTCCCAGCGTGGTTCAGTGAGGTATAGAGACCCCAGTTGTTGCATGTACCCTACTTCCTGTGCTCTACCCCCTTCTGTGTCCCTGCCAAACCACTCTTGATTCTGAGACACAGAGAATTGGACTTTGGGCTTGGCACCCCTGCCCCCTGCCCCCTGTGTAACCACACAGAGGCTATAATTCCCAGAAGTCTAGGCCCCATCTCTTCTCCTGTGGCCACTGCCATAGGCTTCTGTTCTTTCACTACTCCTTCCTGGGCCTGGCCCTCCCTGACCTCTCCTGCCCATATTTCTGAAGTGCCCTTTTCTGGACTACCATCTCCTATGGTATCACCATGAGGGCTCTGCCTCTGTTACCACCTTCTTTCTAAGGTGCCCAGTTAGTGGCAGGCCCCTTGGGCCTGCCCCTACTCTGACATTATCAGGCCTTGAAGTAGAATGCCACTTGCCTGGTCTGGCTTCTCAGTGCAGACTATCAGAGTGCCTCCCAGCAGAAGTAATGTGAGAAGGAGCCAGCCTTGAGGGAGTGGTGAGGGGGCAGGCGAGCTAGACAAAGGCCTTGTAGGTCATTTAGGCATTAATGAGGGCTCTCCCAAAAAGGATGACTTCCATGAGGAAATTGGTAGCCAAGCTACCTTCTGGAAGAAGAGATAGGTGCCTCTGGTCTCCCCTCCCGGCCACCTGCGCAGGTCTTTTTGACAGAAATATTGATGTATCGAGTGATGTTCTAGACTAGGAACAGAAGAATGGAGAAGACATTGGGCCAGAAATCCTGATGTAAAAGAGAAGGGAATCTAGTAAGCAGGCCTTGTGCTGAGCTGGGATCTAATGACCGTGCAGTTCCATATCTTAGCCCTGATCTGCATCCCAGGGCCAGGCTTCTTCTGGCTGGCCACCACACAGCTGCCCTCAAGGCAGTGGTGAGGCTGGGCCAGGTGGGCTGAGCTCATGAATGCTCTCCATTCAACAGTGTCCCCCACCTGTTGTTTTCTTCCTTTTTCAATGCCGGGGAAACTCCTCTCTAGACTGAGGCAGCAGACTTCTGGATCTATTACTGCCCAGGGGCAGTCCAGAGAGCCTGAAGGCAGGGCAGTTTTAAAGGCTGGGGCTCCCGGCTGGAGCCAGGACTGTCTTCAGACTCACCTCAGCCCCTCCTCTACTGGGGGGCAGGAAGGGGCTGAACTTTTACCTAACTGAGCCATCTGTAGCCCCAGAGGCATCTTTCAGAGCCTGAGTGCCTCCCTGCCTCTCTATCACCTCAGGAACTAGGAGTAGTAGGGACCCTAGGCACTTTCATCTCTTGTTCCTACAGAGAGAAAAAGGTGGAATCTCCTCCCTCAATACCACTAACATCCAGGAAACAAATTTAGCTGTCTACTCCCTCTTCCTCCTCTTGATCCTTTCCTACCTTTGCTGATCTCTTTTGCAAAGCAGAGATGTCCTTTTCTCCCTCCAGTAGGTATTCTCTTTGACCCTCTCTACCCTGCTCTGGTAAGTGCATACAGAGCCTGGGATAAGAGTATGAGTGTACAGCTGGCCTCTTCTGGCACCTGCCAGCAGAAAGTCAGTGCCAGAGGCTAGGTGTTGTTCCATGTGTTAAACCCCAGGACCAGGGTTCTGTCCTCCAACAGGGTCTTAACTTTCATCCTCTGCTAGAGGTGATCCAGGGAATCTGTTCAGTATTTTCAACGCAGGGAACAAAAATAACCAGCTGTTTGTGCCTTCATAGAGACCCACAGGGATCCAGAGTTGGTATGGGGAAGCTGGGGCATGGGCCACTGCTAACTGGGATCCTATTCTTTCTCAGGTCCTGCCCAGAATGAGCTTTTCCAGGGTGCGACTGCCAGCCGAAAGTCTGCACTTTCTCCCTCCATCTGCCCTACCTGCCCAACCAAGACCCTCCCTGCTTTCTGCCGTCCTTGACCAACTAAAAGCTGAAGAGATGCCACACTGTGCTGGGGCCCTTTAGGACCTTGGCAGAGCTGCTTCCTGGTGCTACGCAGCCTCCACACTCAGAGCCCAGAGATTGGGCTGGCCTGTGGGCCAGGGGTTGATGGTACTGCTGGCCCAACACTGCTCTCTTTGTGTTTGGTTTTTTGTTTTTATTTTCCAATTCTTTTGATACTGTGAAGATCTTTCATGCTGAAAGATAAAGCAACATTTGGACACAGAGTTGGTGTTTTGGTGATTTGCTGGTCTGGGTGGGGAGTAAGGTGAGGGATATACTCAGAAGCATGGCATCTGCCTCAGTCACTAACCTCACTGAGCATGTACTGTGCTTGGCAGTTTGGCATCATTTCCACTTATTCCTCATAGCAATCCTAAGTGGTATTAATCCCATTTTACAGTTGAGGAATTGTAAGTTAAGATGAAAAACTCAACTCAGTCTGGCCAATTAGGATTGAGCACAGACCTATATGACTCTGACATCTGTCCCCCTTTTTCCCATTAGGAGGACTCTAGTATGTGAGCCTGAAACAGCCCCTAACCCATTCTCTTTCCCCCTTGCAAGATGGGCAAGTTGAAGGGGTTGGGCTTGGTCTCTGTACCCCTGGATATAAGAAGAGCCTAGGGAAGCAATGAGGCCTCTATAGACTATACACCTGAGTCCAAGCCTCACACTGACAATGTGACAATGTAGTTAGGGAAAGTTGGGGCAAATTCAGTTTTTATAAATCAGATCTTATTTTCCAATGGGAAAGGAACATATAGCATAAGGCCTGAAAGTTAATAGGATAATGAAACCTGTGAAGTAAAGCAAACTACCTCATCCTGCCCAGTAGATCTGTTTTATAAATTTTTTTTTTCTTGAGAGAGAGTCTCACTATGTCACCCTTGGTAGAGTGCCATGGCAACCCCAGCTCATAGCAACCTCAAACTCTTGGGCTTAAGCGATTGATTCTCTTGCTTCAGCCTCCCAAGTAGCTGGGACTACAGGCACCCGCCACAACACTCAGCTGTTGTTTGGTTGTAGTTGTCATTGTTAGGCAGGCCTGGGTTGGATTCAGACCCACCAGCTTCAGTGTATGTGGCTGGCACCTTAGCCGCTGAGCTATAGGTGTTGAGCCTGTTTTGTAAATTTTTAAATACAATGGGTTTGCTAAAAATGCCCCACACATAATTGTGTCCAAACCCCTTGCTCCCAATGTAGTTTTCTCTACTAAATCCAACTCTTAATTGAGCTTATGTGGGGAGCACCCTGTGTGGAGACAGTGGCCACATAGTCATTAAGAGTCATATGGAGTATAGTGAGCAGGAGCAAAAACCACTCTCTTCCCTGGCTCTTTCCTCTGCCAGGTTGAGACCTACCATGGGACTGGTGGTGGGTGCCAGCTTCCTTTTCTAAAGTAGGGGAACAGGGTGGCGCCTATGGCTCAGTGGATAGGGCACTGACCCCATATACCGAGGGCGGTTAGGTTCAAACCTGGCCCTGGCCAAACTGCAACAACAACAAAAAAAAATAGCTGAGCATTGTGGCTGGCACCTGTAGTCCCAGCTACTTTGGAGGCTGAGGCAAGAGAATTAGCCCAGGGTTGGAGGTTGATGTAAGCTGTGACGCCACAGCACTCTACCAAGGTCAATAAAGTAAGACTCTCTCTAAAAAATAAATAAATAGGCTTGGCGCCTGTGGTTCTACCAGCTAAGGCACCAGCCACATACACCTGAGCTGGCAGTTTCAAATCCAGCCCGGACCTGCCAAGCAACAATGATGGCTGCAACCAAAAAATAGCCGGGCGTTGTAGCAGGCGCCTGTAGTCCCAGCTACTTGGGAGGCTGAGGCAGGAGACTCGCTGGAGCCCAGGAGTTGGAGGTTGCTGTGAGCTGTGATGCCACGGCACTCTACCCAGGGCAACAGCTTGAGACTCTGTCTCAAAAACAAATAAATAAATGAAAGAGAAACAAATAGCGCTGACCACAGCCTCACAATTCCTGGTCTCTGCCCTTTCTCAGTCCCCAAGGTGGTGTGGACACTTCCCTGTGCAATTTTTCTCTGTAAATATATTAGCTCTGTTCTCTCCCTTGAGCTCTTGCACTATGTATGCCCCTACCCTGCTGCTGGAATTGACACAGCTATTTAGGATTCTGCTTCATCCATCATCTTGCAAGTCTGATTCAGGGGCCTTTGTTCCTGTGCCCCTGCCTCCAGTATTAGCTCTATGTTGGACAACTTGTCTCCAGGTAGGCCCTGCATTCTCAGGTCTCTTGATTTTTGCTCACATATTTCTCTCATCCCAGATTACCCTTCTTTGATAAATTTATGCTTATTCATAATGTCCCAGCTGACAGGCCATTTTCCTTTGAAAACCATGAGTCTGGCTCAGAGCCCATGCTCAGAGGTTAGGGCGCCAGCCACATATATGGAGGCAGGCAGGTTCGAACCTGGCCCAGGCAACAAAAATAGCAGAGTGTTGTGGTGGGTGCCTGTGGTCCCAACTACTTGGGAGGCTGAGGCAAGAGAATCGCTTAAGTCCAAGAGTTTGAGGTTGCTGTGAGTTGTGATGCCACACCACTCTACCAAGGGTGACATAGTAAGACTGTCTCAAAATAAAATAAAATAACATGAGTCAGTTTGCCCTGCTTTTGTGACACTACCACCTTACCTTGCCTGTCTGAGAATCAGTCTCCTTAATGTCAAGACTACTTAACTGGGCTCGGCGCCTATAGCTCAACCGGCTAAGACGCCAGCCACGTACACCTAAGGTGGCAGGTTCGAATCTAGCCTGGACCCGCCAAACAACAATGACGGCTGCAACCAAAAAATAGCCGGGCGTTGTGGCGGGCGCCTGTGGTCCCAGCTACTTGGGAGGCGGAGGCAGGAGACTCACTTGAGCCCAGGAGTTGGACGTTGCAGTGAGCTGTAATGCCATGGCACTCTACCCAGGGGGACAGCTTGAGGCTCTGTCTCAAAAAAAAAAAAAAAAAAAAAAAAGACTAGTTAACTGTGTCTCCTCAACCAATCCTGTAAGGTCCTCCCACATCAGGTGTGTGTCTTGTTCATCCTTTATCTGCTTCAGCACTGTGTGTAATGCCAGCGCATACTCGTATTAAACTCGTATTAAGAGAAGTAAAGCACTGATCAAGTCATTCTGCGTTAAATCTTTAATAAAGTTGAAATTACTCTAACAGTCATGGCTGACATGCTCTGGGCCCAATCACCTTTTCTGGCCTCAGGTCTGGCCACCTCCACCTCACCCCAATCGCAATGATCTCTGCTTCCTTGCACATCGGCAGACCTTTATTCCTACTGCCCCTTCGCCCAGAAGATCCTTGCACTTCTCTGTAAGCTCAGATCCAGAGTCTCCGCCTCTGGTTCCCCACGCAGCTAATCATTCCGAGTTCTATTACAGCACTTACAAAAATAATCGCTTACATTTATACAGGGCCTTAACAGTTAAAAGTCACTGTCATCGGTGTTTTACTTATCCCTCACCACTGTGAGCAGACGACAACACCGTCCGGAGCTCAGTGAGTTGAGCCCCGCCCTGCCTCAGAGGCCCGGTGGGGGAACCAGACCCGCTCGCCCTGGCCGGGAGCTCCACCACTCAAGTAAGCCGCGCATGCCGGGAGGGGCGTGCCGGTGGCGTCATGCTCGGGGCAAGGCGGGGCTCGGGGCAAGGCGGGGCTCGTGGCAGGTCCCCCAGTTGTGGAGCAGCTACTTCCGCTGAGGACGACGTCTTCTATTGGGCTTGGCTTGAGCCTTTAGCGCATGCTCCAAGTCTTCCAATGTCCCACAATGCTTTGCTTGACGCTTTCTCCCTTAACCCTGGCAACAGTCACGAAAAGACAAAGGGCATCTACACCATGCGTCACTACAACTCAGGAGAAAATTTGTCCCTCTGCAGGATCCGGAATTCCGAGATCGTTGCTAGGCGCCGATGCCTGCTTCTTCACACCTGATTGGCTCTCACTCAAAGATGAGGCGGGGTTTTGTCGTGGCGCGCCTGCGTGTGGCAAAGGATGGAGGAGTCGGAACCCGAGCGGAAGGTGGGAGCGAGGTTCGGGTCCGCGTGGGTGTGAAGCTGGAATGAAGGCGGGGAAGCGAGCTTGGCCTGACTCGTGTGTATTTGCAGCGGACTCGCACCGACGAGGCAACTGCTGGAGGAAGCCGCTCCGAGGCGGAAGATGAGGACGACGAAGCTTATGTACCTTATGTGCCGTTAAGACAACGGCGGCAACTACTGGTGAGGGAGTCGCGTCAGACGAGGAATGGGGCGTGACTGCTGGGTAGCAATGGGATGGAGCATAGGTGGCGCAGGACTGTGGGGCAAGGGCGACTGTCTGAGGTGTGTCAGTACATGCGAGCGTGGCCCCCAGGCAAACAAGGGAGTGACAGCCTGATCTGAGGGGTAGGGCGACTCAGAGTCTCAGGCACAGAACCCTTGCCTAAAAGCCAGGATCCTTTCTGTCTTGGGCTTGACTCGGGGGGTACTGGTGCAACCACAGCTTCAGAAGCTTCTTCAACGAAGACGCAAGGGAGCTGCAGAAGAGGAGCAGCCCGACAGCGGCAGTGAGCCCCAAGGAGATGAGGATGACATCCCACTCGGCCCTCAGTCCAACGTCAGTCTCTTGGATCAGCACCAACACCTCAAAGAGAAGGCTGAAGGTGGACTGAGCAGCACTGCCTAGGCGGGAAGGGAGCCACTAAGCCTGGGCACGCCGTTAGTGTCTCTATAACATGCTTCTTATCTCAGCCCGCAAGGAGTCAGCCAAGGAAAAACAGCTGAAAGAAGAAGAGAAAATCCTGGAGAGTGTGGCTGAGGGCCGAGGTATGGTTGTGGGCAGAGTGGTGAGGAAGTGAGCTGAGCCTCTTCTCCCGAACACGAGACATGTTATATTTCAAGGACACAGGCCTCCCAGAAGCAGGAGCCTGAGGTATGTCTCTCCCTTCAGCCTTGATGTCAGTGAAGGAGATGGCTAAAGGCATCACTTACGATGACCCAATCAAAACCAGGTATGTCTTTCCAGTTTGTACAGTTATCTTTTATTTAGGATGGTGAGAGGCTGGGACTAGCAGGGAAACCATGAGGCCAGCTGTGCTCAAGGTCTCTCTTGATCCCTGTCATCCATCCATAGCTGGACACCGCCCCGTTATGTCCTGAGCATGTCTGAAGAGCGGCATGAGCGTGTACGGAAGAAATACCACATCTTGGTGGAGGGAGATGGTATCCCACCACCCATCAAAAGCTTCAAGGAAATGAAGTTTCCTGCAGGTGCTTAGAATGGGTAGAGACATCACACTTTTTATAATTAAGCACCTGTGTGGTTGTGTCCTAGACCCTACTGAGTTTAGCCATATCAGCACTGGGTCCAGTCACTGGAGAGAGGGATTTGAAGAGGGGTTTCTTTAGGTTCCTTTTTCAGTTGCCCCAGATTTTCATGTTCATTATCCTCTATCGTTATGGAGCTTCAGTGTAAGAATGATACTGGGTTTAGACAGATCTGGATGCAAAGCATGGCTCCACTTAGCCCATGGGTGTTGGACAAATCTCTTTTTATCTTTTCCTCTCTCTGTTTCCCTTTCTGACTCTTGATTTCATCCTTTGCAACTTAAAGGAATAGTGCCAATTTTACAGGCTTTGGGGCTCTGATAAAGTATATGCAAGTCACAAGAATGATGCTTGGGTTGTTTTCCATAGCCATCTTGAGGGGCCTGAAGAAGAAAGGCATCCACCACCCAACACCTATTCAGATCCAAGGCATCCCAACAATGTGAGTGTGGACTGTGGACCTGGGTTCCCTGAGAAGGGTGTTGACAGAGAGGAGAAATGGCTAGGTGTCCAACTGAAGAAGCAGTTCCTGTCTTCTGCAGAACTTGACACTCAAGCTGCCCTCTCCCAACAGTCTATCTGGCCGTGACATGATTGGCATTGCTTTCACGGGTTCAGGCAAGACACTGGTGTTCACACTGCCTGTCATCATGTTCTGCCTAGAGCAGGAGAAAAGGTTACCTTTCTCTAAGCGTGAAGGGCCCTACGGACTCATCATTTGCCCCTCGGTAAGATAGGCTAGCCTGAGAACAGGGCAGAAACTGGGGCCACCATCTGGTGCTAGCTTTTGTTCTTGTGCCTGCAGCGGGAGCTAGCCCGCCAGACCCATGGCATCCTGGAGTACTACTGCCGCCTGCTGCAGGAAGACAGCTCACCACTCTTGCGCTGTGCTCTCTGCATTGGGGGCATGTCTGTCAAAGAGCAGATGGAGACCATCCGACAGTGAGTTCTGGCGCCCTCTTCCTCCCAGGCTACCCCAGAGCCCCAAAGAAGCTAAAGGACCCTTTAACCATTCCACAGATGTTTGCTGATGTCTGCTATGGACCCAAGCCTCATGGAGCTCCTAGTCTGATGGGGAGATTTCCTGGGGTAGGACAGAGGGATGTAGCCAGGTACTGTGGGAGCACAGCAGATAGAATGGCCCACCTTGCAGGGAGCATCAGAGAGGTAGGTGCTCAGAGAAGATTTTGTAGAAGTGACATCTGAATTTTGAAGAGAGGTAATCTAGGCAAAAAGCACAGAAGTAGAGGGCCCAAGAAGGTCAGGGTCGTGTAGTGGTCAGTAAAGGAAATTGAGTTCTGGGCAGGGCTGGATCGCCAATCTGACCTGTGTCCATCCCATGCAGTACAGATGTCACCAAAGGCTCTGGATCAGGCCCTAGGCTCACAGGCCAAACCTAGCAGTCTCAGGGAAGACACAGACACAAAAAAGATGAAGTTAGTTTCCCAGAAAAGGGAGCCCACTGAGGCCTACAAAAGGGGCTATGGAAGCATAAAATGAAGCATTGCTAGAGAGAGTCAAAACAGTCATCCTGGGTGAGAGGAATCACCCAGAAGAAGAGGGAAGAGTGTGCTGGGATGAGCCGTGGCCAAGAAAACTGCAGTGCCTTCTAGGAGAGAGAGGTGTGCTGTACATGGGGCAGGGTGGTGGGAGAGTGATGAGGGCACACATGAGAAGGACAGGAAGGAAGGCAGAAGAGAGAACAGAGGCAGGGTGTTTGCTGATCTCTAGATAGATGACAGCAGGTATCCCTGACCTCAGGGTCTCTCCTTGGTCCCTAGTGGTGTACACATGATGGTGGCCACCCCTGGGCGCCTCATGGATCTGCTGCAAAAGAAGATGGTCAGCCTAGACATCTGTCGCTACCTGGCCCTTGATGAGGCTGACCGCATGATTGACATGGGCTTTGAGGGAGACATCCGCACCATTTTCTCCTATTTCAAGGTGCCTGCCTCCTGCCTGACTAGGCAGCCTTGTATCACCCTACCCCCTCTCATAACACATTTAACTGCAGAGAGCCCTGTACCCCTGCAGTACCCCACCCTCTGCTCCTACTGCCCCCTGCAGTGCCTCACTCTTCTGCTCTTACTCCCAGCTGTTAAGCTTCCCCACACCCCATTTTCCACATGCCCTTGGCCCAGCCACACCAAGCCCTGCATGCATTCAGCACTGGCCCTCACCTTCCTCAGGGCCAGCGGCAGACTCTACTCTTCAGTGCCACCATGCCCAAGAAGATTCAGAACTTTGCCAAGAGTGCCCTTGTAAAGCCTGTCACCATCAACGTGGGTCGTGCTGGGGCAGCCAGCCTGGATGTTATACAGGTGGGCAGGCACTCCTGATGGCTAGTCTCTCCCTGTAAGGCCTGGATCTGGCAAAGCTCCCTGGAAGCTGATGAGAGCAGGGGATTCACTTTGTGGGCACTGGGGGTTTCATTCAAAGCCTCTGGCCCTTAGCCAGGGCTATTTTTAAGGTGCCCAGACATCAGTGGCAAGAGGTTTCTGGTCACCTCCTGGTCCCCATTGGTGCCTGACCTGTGGCAGGGTTGTGGCTGCTGAGCCTAACCTCAGGATCACCTGACCTGGTCCCTGTGTTGGCAGGAGGTAGAATATGTGAAGGAGGAGGCTAAGATGGTGTACCTGCTCGAGTGCCTGCAAAAGACACCTCCACCTGTGAGTGCTACCAGCCAGGCTGGTCCCAAGGTCCCCAGGACAAGGGAGGGAGTAGAGGGACAGCATATTAGAGAAGGTTGGGTGGAGGCCCAGGCAGTGTCAGCGACCCTGACTGGATTTGACCTTCCTGGACAGGTGCTCATCTTTGCAGAGAAGAAGGCAGATGTGGATGCCATCCATGAGTACCTGCTGCTCAAGGGGGTTGAGGCTGTGGCCATCCATGGGGGCAAAGGTCAGGGTGGCCTAAGCATTGGCACAGAGGCTGCTACCATAGCAGCCCCTCATCCAGTCCCTTCCCCTGACTGGCCGGTGTAGCACTACTCAGCAAACTCCTACTGTAGTTTTTAATGGCTTCTACCTGGCCTTCCCCAGATCAGGAAGAAAGAACCAAGGCCATCGAGGCATTCCGAGAAGGCAAGAAGGATGTCTTAGTGGCCACAGACGTAGCCTCCAAGGGCCTGGACTTCCCTGCCATCCAGCATGTTATCAATTATGACATGCCCGAGGAGATCGAGAACTATGGTAGGAGCTGGGGAGCTCAGCATGTGGACCAGGCAGGGGAAGGGCCAGGCCAGGTCTCTAGCCCCTGGGTCCCTCTCTCCAATAGTGCATCGGATTGGCCGCACTGGGCGCTCAGGAAACACAGGCATCGCCACCACCTTCATCAACAAGGCCTGTGGTGAGTCTGTCACCAGAGCTTCCTCAGCTGTCCCTTGGGTCCTCTGCCTATGGCCACACAGGTTCTGGCTAAAGGGCCCAGGGTGGAGCCTGATGACTCCTTGCCTTTCCAGATGAGTCAGTCCTGATGGATCTCAAAGCCCTGCTGCTGGAAGCCAAGCAGAAAGTGCCACCTGTTCTGCAAGTGCTGCACTGCGGGGATGAATCCATGCTGGACATTGGAGGTAACTGTAGCGCCCAAGGCACGGTGGTGGGGTGGAAAGCCACAGTGGGGGCAGGAAGGCAGGAGCACCACACAACAAATCCATGCTGTGCATCAGTAATAGGAGGCCCAAGGTCAGGGTAAGGATATAGCCTGTTACCCATCCCCTGTTCCCCAGGAGAGCGTGGCTGTGCCTTCTGCGGGGGCCTGGGCCATCGGATCACTGACTGCCCCAAACTCGAGGCTATGCAAACCAAGCAGGTCAGCAACATTGGCCGCAAGGACTACCTGGCCCACAGCTCCATGGACTTCTGACCCAACTGTCTTCCTGCTCTACCAAGAGGCCTCAGACTCTAGGACTCCAGTCACCTATACACACACACCAGCTCCCTGGGCAAGAAGCCAGCATCCTTTGGGCCCAGCTGGCCTGGGCTGGGCTGGGCCAGGCTGAGCCTGGCTGCCATTCCCCATGCCCCCTAAGAATTACTATTTTTGTTCCCCTTCTTCCCAGCTGCCATTAAAGCTCCTCTATCTCAGCCCCGGGCCTTCCTCTCTGTTTTACCTCATCTGTCCCCTGGCTTCTGGGTAGACCTCACCCTGGAGATGAGACAAGGCATCTCCCACCACTGCTGTCACCACCTTGCCTGCTGGGGTTGGCTATGGAAGGAGCCTCCTAGCCTCAGTTCCTTTGAGGACTTGGTGTCTCCACTGGGTTTCCTCAATTTAAGACTCCAGAAGGGATCACATTGGTGGTCCAAGGAGAAATGGTTGCATTCTCTTGTCTACTTGTTGGCTGTTTTAGCCCCCAGCTTTGATTTTCCTTTCAACTGTGTGATGCTTCAGGGGCTACCCCTGTAATTCCTTGGGAGGCTGTTTCTTGCCTAGGGCACTCCAACCTGAGGCTCCCAGTAGGAACCCTCAGCTCTGCCAACTGAGGAGGCAGCAGATGCCATAGAACTGCCATTCAGGCCACAGAACCCACTGACCTTGCTCTGCCCAGTGCTCTTCTGGGCTACAAGGACCCAAGCAAGTGGCTACCTGGAACACTTGCAGATGAGTGGGAGAGACAGACTCAGACTCAAATAAATGTGGATGGTAGTCACAAGACACTAGTAGAGGAACCAGGATTCCAGCATCTGGCAAGAGATAGAGGCCATGTTCACACAGCTTCTCTGTGCCAGGCACTTCATGTGTAAGGCCACATGCTTATCCCAGTAGGACAGGGGTTGCTTAAACCATGTTTGTTGCTTGGTGTGTAGCCACGGGCAAGTTACTTAATTTTTATGAGCCCTGGCTTGGAGTCTGTGGCTCAACTGGCTAAGGCGCCAGCCACATACACCTAAGGTGGTGGGTTCGAATCCAGCCCGGGCCTGCCAAAACAACAATGACGGCTGCAACCAAAAAACAGCTGGGTGTTGTGGTGGGCACCTGTGGTCCCAGCTACTTGGGAGGCTGAGGCAGGAGACTTGCTTGAGCCCAGGAGTTGGAGGTTGATGTGAGCTGTGATGCCACAGCACTCTACCCAGGGGAATAGCTTGAGGCTCTGTCTCAAAAAAAAAATTTTATGAGCCCTGATTTCCTCATTGCAACGGCAATGAGAATGCAGAGACCCTGGTATCTGGGACTGCTGGTGCTCAGTGCTACCTGGGCTGCTCTGGGCACAGAATCAGGTGCCAAGGGCCCTTAGAAAGTTTCCTGGTCACGGATGTTGTGACATACCTGTACTCCCAAGACTCAGGAGACAGGAGAATCACTTGAGCCCAGCTTGAGCACTATTAGGGAGACTCCATCTCCTCAAACAAACAAATATTTCCTGGCCAAATACGTGACCCCCAAATGACATTCCTCAGCCTGGTTACACATGTTCTTTCCCATGGTTGGCATTGAATGAATGACATGAGACTGTTTTTAGACTTCTGATTCGCAGCTCAGCACCTGTAACTCAAGTGGCTAAGGTGCCATCCATATACACTAGAGTTGGTAGGTTCGAATCCAGCCCAGGCCTGCCAAACAACAATGACAACTATAACCAAAAAATAGCTGGGCGTTATGGCGGGTACCTGTAAGTCCCAGCTACTTGGGAGGCTGAGGCAAGAGAATCGCTTAAGCACAGGAGTTGGAGGTTGCTGTGAGCTGTGATGCCACCACACTCTACCCAGGGGAACAGCTTGAGGCTCTGTCCCCCCACCCCCCAAAAAAAATTCTGACTCACATATGTAGCCCTAAAACCGGTCTCCTAAAAAAAAAAAAAAAAAAAGACAGGGGGAAAGTCTTTTTTTGTTTTTGTTTTTTTTATACATTATTATTTTTTTGAGACAGGAGCTTCAAGCTGTCCCCCTGGGTAGAGTGCCATGGCATCACAGCGCACAGCAACCTCCAACTCCTGGACTCAAGTGAGTCTCCTGCCTCAGCTTCCTGTGTAGCTGGGACCATAGGTGCCGGCCACAATGCCCGGCTATTTTTTTAGTTGCAGCCAACATTGTTGTTTGGCAGCCTGGGCT